TTCACAATGTGATGGATGAGTTTTAATCTGAATAAAGCACGACAAATTTACGAAGTTACAGCACGTGATATACAGAAATATGTTTGGATAAGTGAGTGTATCGTACCTTGATATAGAAGATTGACCCTTTAGGGTTAAGAATAAAATGTCCCATTTAAATGTCAATAAATATATAATTACTTTGTGATTAAATTTCAGTCGGTTATTGAGGTGCGCGCACACAAACAACTGGGTAGGTGTAATAAACGATAGTATCAAATTTGTAAGAATGAATGTATTTTTTTGGGAGGGAGTAATGTAATATTTAAATAGTATTCAAAAAGTTGTTTTCAAATTCTAATGATGTCAAGACGTTTCGTTTTTTATTCAGACATGGTCATTAAGATGTGTTTGATACAAATTTTATTTCCACAAGAATATATGTTTTTTCTGATCCTGTAACAACAACAAACAAATTTACATTTCATGTGCGTTCAACATATGTCGATGTTAACTGTATTGTCTATTAAATTGGAAAACAAATGCTCATTACAAAGATAACTAGACTTGTCAGCCTCCGAGTTAGTTAATGCCCTCTATATTAACGTTTCTTGATTGGGAATAGACTGTCAATGTTTGGAAACGTAAAAAGTTGTAAAAATATCTTTGTTGAGACATTTTAAACAGTGGTTTGTAGACTATGTTTAAGACGTGTGACGTTAAAGGGGCATTCTGATTTATTCTTGTATCGTTGTATATTTATCTATTGTGTTTTTAGTTTTCATTAAGACATGTCATGTTCTTTTTCTGGTGTACCTTAATACATTTAATTTCATTTGATCAAGTAGATACATAGATGTACATGGTATAGTTTTCAGAATATGTATACTGGTAATCTGTCTGATAATTTGACAGACATCAACCCATTTCGTGAAAATCAAATAAGAAGTGAAGAAACATTTTGACCAAATTACAGTACAAAAAGTTATTGACAACATTGTCGAATTACGAAATTATGAATCTGGAGTCTTTTCGAAAGTACTTACAAGATTACAAACAAAAATATTGATCAACTACTATGCGCTCAATGGGGGTTAGGATAAGATCGTCTAATGAATGGTCGTCCATGTTGAAATAATGAAAAACAGGTTTGTCTTTCTTCAATTGGATATCTATGAGCAGTAAAACGAGTGCATAAATTATTTTTAGTTTCTCTTACATACTGTTTAGGACATTTCCTACACGAAATTAAGTAAATTCAATTCGAGGTT